TTTTTAGAACAAGGTTTAAAATTATTTCCCCAAATTCAGTTATAAATGGTTTATGTAATTTGAGAAATCACAAAATTGAGATAACGCCGACATACTTGGAAGTTGTTGACCTAAACCTGTTTAGAACAAGGTTTAAAATTATTTCCCCAAATTCCGTTATAAATGGTTTATGTAATTTGAGAAATTACAAAATTGAGATAACTCCGAACATTTGATCCAGCTAAATACTTGGAAGTTGTTTACCTAAACCTGTTTAGAACAAGGTTTAAACTTATTTCCCCAAATTCAGTTATAAATGGTTTATGTAATTTGAGAAATTACAAAATTGAGATAATGCCGAACATTTGATCCAGTTAAATACTTGGAAGTTGTTGACCTAAACCTTTTTAGAACAAGGTTTAAAATTATATCCCCAAATTCAGTTATAAATGGTTTATGTAATTTGAGAAATCACAAAATTGAGATAACGCCGACATACTTGGAAGTTGTTGACCTAAACCTGTTTAGAACAAGGTTTAAAATTATTTCCCCAAATTCCGTTATAAATGGTTTATGTAATTTGAGAAATCACAAAATTGAGATAACGCCGAACATTTGATCCAGTTAAATACTTGGAAGTTGTTGACCTAAACCGTATGTTGTAATAAAGTTTGTATTGTTGGTTAGAGACGAACACGTTCAGTATGTTGTAATAAAGTTTGTATCATTGGTTAGAGACGAACACGTTTCGTATGTTGTAATAAAGTTTTGTATCATTGGTTAGAGACGAACACGTTCAGTATGTTGTAATAAAGTTTGTATCATTGGTTAGAGACGGACACGTTTGGTATGTTGTAATAAAGTTTGTATCATTGGTTAGAGACGGACACGTTTAGTATGCTGTAATAAAGGCTGTATTGTTGGTTAGAGACGGACACGTTTAGTATGTTGTAATAAAGTTTGTATCATTGGTTAGAGACGGACACGTTTGGTATGTTGTAATAAAGATTGTATAATTGGTTAGAGACGAACACTTTTAGTATTTTATAATAAAGTTTCTACTGTTGGTTAGAGACGGACACGTTTAGTACATTGTAATAACCTTTGTATCATTGGTTAGAGACCGACACGTTTAGTATCTCATAGATAGCAGAACCTCAATCTAATAATAGTAGTCTTAACTGAAAATATAATGCTATTAACATAACTTATGTTTTCAGTCTTCACCACTGAATAACAGTCTTAGGACTAGTTTCACCTTCATAAAATCATATTGCTTATCTACTTATCTTAATTAAATTACCATTTTGTGTGCAAAAAATAGGGACTCAAAAGAAAAGTATAATATTATCACCTTGTCTTAAAATTTCCTTAGATCTTAATGTCATTCCCATTACCTGAGTATTCTATTACGTTTAATTTTATTTTAATATTCTTGTTGCTTCGTCATCAGTTTATGTCGCACATTTTCAGAATGTCACATTGTTTAAAATGTCGGTTGTATGGGCAGTTCTGTATCATGAAAGAGCATGCGCATAGTGATACAACTACCCTTGTAACTTTTCCATTCACTGCCTAATTAATTTTTTAAATAAACGTAAATTAAAAAAAAAGACACTTCTTGTAACTAACACGTCATATAATATTCTTTTATTAAACATTCGTGTGATAAAGCATGAAATAAGCTAACGTGATTGAAGATTATTTTAATTACAAAACTGAAATTTAGTACCTGCTAAATATTGTTGTTATGTAAATATTCAGGAATATAAATATTGTCATCCCATAGTCTGTCCTGAATAATTCATCATTCAGAAACTTATTAAATAAGTGCTTACAACACTTAAGACTCCACCACGGCCTCAGTGGTAAGTTTATGTGTTTTTAAGCAACACAATGGGTTACCTGTGCTGTGCCCACCACGGATATCGAAATTAGTTTTTGATCGTTATAAGCCTACAAACTTACAGCTGTGCCACTGGGGGCCAACGGTAAGTCTGAAGGATTATAATGTTAAGTAGAGTTTCGATACCCATGGTGGTCACAGTACAAATACCCAATTGTGTAGCTTTATATTTAATATCAATAAAAAAAAACAATAGTCAAAATTAGAAAACAAATTAAGAAATTCAAATGTTTGATTTACGTATCTTATACATCTCTTCGTTTAACTCTTTTATTGTTCTAGTCTATAAATGTCTGAAGAAATTTGTGTTAGCTATTGTTTGTTTCTGCGTGTTTGTTGCTCGAAGAATTAAATAATATAACAGTATGAAACGAGTATCATTTTATTTTTTGCTTATACCCTTTAATAATTATTATATACTAATATTTAATGTGTTTTAGTTTGGATCTATAAGCTTGCGATTTATCTCATATATTTCACAATATAATCAAACACGTATACTTAAGGAAAATGTAATATTACACGCTTTGCAAAGTAATTATCTTTAGAACTATTTATTATCTTATTTTGAGTTTTAAACTGCAGTCCAACTACAAAATATTTATTCGCATATATAATATCGGTTTTATTTCATTTGAGAAATACAGTAAACAAATTCCACCAGCCGTTTATACAAAATTATTTTGAAAATAAATACGTGTATGGTGTTTAAAATAATCACTCTAGCTAGATATTAACATACATACAACATCACAGGACGATTTTTATGTTTATGTTTACGCTGCATTTTTTCTCATTCTTGTATATGATATTTCAGTGATTATTTATGAACTAAAACAAAAGATATAAAAAAGATAAATTTCACGTTTTTTAGCCAAACTCTTGAGTGTAATTTTGTTTCTTATTATACTCTTTAAAATAACAAATTTCTTGAAATTTATTCTAACAATTAAATTTACATGTATACATTTCGACAAATATAAATACGTATTCAAGCTTTTCACCCAAAGTTTTAATTTAGCAGAATTCTTTGTGATCCAAGTGAGCAAACAGAAGTGATTAAGTTGAATCGTCTAAAGTGCATTTAATTCATTTTAAAACTCAGGTGCACAAGGCTGATAAAGGAGTTGCATCACACATGCTTGTGTTAGATGAAACATTATAACTGATCTGATGATCAGTCTTATGGAATAAACGGAAACGTTCATTTTGTCAATAGAATATACTCTTCGAATTACCATATCTAAGACACAGTTTACTTTCCTTAAACCATTCTCTTTATCTCGATGTATATAATATAATGAACTTGCATGGATGGAGACTTTAGACATTTCCCGAAGGTCAAAACTTCATTGATTGAAGAGTTTGTTCCGACTCAAAGGCCAACAAGTCACTGAATAGAGTTCGAATTCAGAGAAAGCACACTTCGGTTCAAATGACAAAAAAAGAAAGCAATTCAGTATGTTGAAAATAAAGCAAGTGTCTGTCTGGAGGTAGAAAGCGAGAAAGGGGGGCTTTATAGTTTCAATAAACAATAAAGATGAAACAATAGTTTTGTGAACAAGAACATACTCTACAAGCACAATAAAGCAACCATTCATTGTATAAGTTTAGAAAACAGGAAAGCATTCTAAAGTGTCAGTAGAAAATAAAATAATTCTATAGGTCAGAAGATAGAAAACATGTCTTCATAGGATTAGAGACTAGAAAATGCCTTTCTTTTAAATCAGTAGGCAATACAATTGTTCAACAGGATGTTGCTAGCACGAAAGTTGTGTTTTAGGCTTAGGTAATAGAAAATAGTTAGAAAAGATCTCGATGGGATCAGTACTAAAGATTGTGTTTATACGTTCGAAAAACGTAGAGTTTTTTATGAACCAATAAGGGATTGAAATGATTGAGTCCATGTACATATTTATACTCGACGTTCAAGAATTTTCTTCCTTTTATTTCTTTCTTCTTTTGTAATGCAAGTGTTTGGCCGTCATGTAAAAGTCTTTCACGTCGAAAGTTGACACTAGCGAAAGAAAGTGCCTGTTACAACATATCTTTTATAAAGACATGAATGAGCTGAATAACAAACGTTTACAGATTTTCTTCGTAAAGTGCGAGGATGGAGATGAGAACGTGGAGCTTTTTCACAGCTGTAGTGAGTAAACAAATGTGAATTCCTTCTGACATTTTAAAAGTCTTTCAGCCATGACCACTCGGCTTACAAGATGGAGAAAAGTGCACAATTTTTAGAAATTATAACTTATAAAAACGTATGAACACAGCGAAACTAAGAATGTAAAAAAATATACATACAACATTTATTATAAATAAAAATTATCTGTATTTTGACAAAATGTTGTGTCCTCTCGGCAACTCGTAAAATATTGCCAAAATGAACGACATCTGTAGAAAAACCTGACCACTCACACTAGAGCGTGTTACTTCAACACAGTCTGTGTCTTTTCTGCAACAACAAATGTCGGAGAGAATGAGCCTCTTCTCTGAGTGTTGCAACCTGCGCTCGCAAGATGGCATTTTCTTTTTCCAAAAAACAAGCTCGAAGAGCTACTTCATCCTCGCGTGCTTTACGGGCATCACGTGACTTCTTTGCCGCCAAGTTGTTTCTTTTACGGCGCTCGAAATATTTCTGGTCCTTCTGGTCTGAAGGTATTGGCTTTTTTTCACTTCGTGGTCTACGTGGCAGACTTGAAAGCAACGCCCGAGTGATGAACGGGTTAGCTAAAAAACAAATTTATTCAAGGTCATTAAATAACATTCGAACTGGAATGAATACAGACACATGAACAAACCAAGGAAAATAAAAACCTTTAAAAAACTTTTTAACTGGATCAAATGTTCGGCGTTATCTCAATTTTGTGATTTCTCAAATTACATAAACCATTTATAACAGAATTTGGGGAAATAATTTTAAACCTTGTTCTAGACAGGTATGTTGTAATAAAGTTTGTATCATTGGTTAGAGACGGACACGTTTCGTATGTTGTAATAAAGTTTGTATTGTTGGTTAGAGACGGACACGTTTAGTATGTTGTAATAACGTTTGTATCATTGGTTAGAGACGGACACGTTTGGTATGTTGTAATAAAGTTTGTATCATTGGTTAGAGACGGACACGTTTCAAAACGTGTCCGTCTCTAACCAATGATACAAACTTTATTACAACATACTGAACGTGTTCGTCTCTAACCAATGATACAAACTTTATTACAACATACTGAACGTGTTCGTCTCTAACCAACAATACAAAACTTTATTACAACATACTAAACGTGTCCGTCTCTAACCAACAATACAAACTTTATTACAACATACTAAACGTGTCCGTCTCTAACCAACAATACAAACTTTATTACAACATACTGAACGTGTCCGTCTCTAACCAACAATACAAACTTTATTACAACATACTAAACGTGTCCGTCTCTAACCAACAATACAAAC